TATATGCAGTGTATTATTTGTTGAAACTGTACTTTCGATTTGATTTGAAACTGTCTCATTGCTATATGTTTATCAATAAAACTTTGAAAAGAAAAAAAAAAAAGAAAGGAAGGACACAAGATTTCTGCGGCGATCATGTCAGACAAGGTATTTTTCTCCACCAACAAGAGAGTTTGTATAAAATGTGCTGCTATAAAAAAAAATAAATAAAATAAAGTTGCAAAAAAATAAATAAAAATAAATAAAAAAATAAAAAAAGAACTAAAATACACTAGTGCCCTAAAATTTAAAGGCCCAATCCAGAAATGTACATCCAAGATGAACACACACTTCTCAAAGGATGAAACTATAGAAGCGAATAAATATATGAAAAAATGCTCCACATCACTAGCCATCTGTGAAATGCAAATTAAAGCAACACTGAGATCCTATCTCACCACAGAAAGAATGGATATCTTACAGAAATCACCCAAGAACAAATGTTGCAGGGGCTGTCGGGAAGAAGGAACCCTTTCCCATTGCTGCTAGGTATGTAGACTGGTGCAACCACTATGGAAATCAGTGTGGGGACTCCTTAGAAACTAGGACTGGAATTCCCATTCAAACCAGTTATTCCCCTACTGGGAATTTTCCCAGAGGAAATGAAAATATATCATAGTAATATATTTGCACCTATGTTTATAGCAGCACAATTTGTGATAGCCAAATCTTGGAAACAACCAAGATGCATATCACCTGAGGAATGGATGGAAGAGATGTTATTTTTATGCAATGGAGTATTACTCAGCTATAAAGAATGATAAATTCAAAGCCTTCATATTTAAGTGGATGCCACTTGAAGATATACTCATAAGTGAAATAAAACAGATCCATACGTGTAAATATCATATATTTTCCCTAGTAGAAGAACTCAAAAGAAGAAATAAAAATAGAAAGGTATAACAGAAATAAAATGAAAGAGACCTAATTTCTTAATTCAGAATGGATATTCCATGTTCAATAAAGAATAAATTTAAGAGTTTAACATTGTGTATGTCCACGCAATGTGTATTTCTAGTGTCATGCTTGGAATGCCTGTCATTCTGGTCTTTTAAATACACACTGCTTGTCATGTCATACCAATTACTTCCATACTCTTTCTCTCTCAAGTAAATACTTTTTTTAAAAAGGGGATAATAAATATAAAGAAGAGAGAAGGCAAAATAATGTCTTGCTACATAGTACTGTCCTGCTACAATGCTGTATATGGTTAGATTTCTAAATTTTGTGCCTTCACTTAGAATTGCTGAAATTTTCAGAAAAGAAACTGTGTAAGCAATTTCACAAGTAATTGTTTTCTTGGTAGGTATAGTTGTGACATTATCACTGTCATCCTGTAGATGTCATAAAATTGAATTCAGGAGTAGAGACTTGAGTATTGATTGACAAGGCCAGATGAATCCAGCAGAGGAGTAATTGGAATAAAATATGCTTCATTTGACCTCAGGAAAATATGGAAGGAGGAGACGAGGTAGTGTAGTCATTTCTAAGAAGATATTTTTCAGTAAATGAACAAACAACAACCAGATAATTCTCGAGATCACTTTTTATTTAAGAGAAGTTCATGTATGCTTGGAGACTGTATTAGCCTTTGTCATTGATCTTATGCCACTAATAGAGGGAAATTATGAGTTGTGTGTGCCAGATCAGAACTGGATTTTAACAAATTTCATATTTCTGTGTGTCATGATTGAATAAAACTTTGTGTTTGTAGCCAACATTTTTACCCTCATGGATAAAATCAACTTACTTATAGAAAAAGACATAAAAGAAGATATTTGGTCATTTTACTTCCCAATAATAGAAAAGAAGCTCTCTAAATTTCATCAATACCAAAAGAGTACATGTTTTTACTGTCATTTAAGGCATGAAATTTAGAGCACTGAAAACATGAATAAGTGTAAAACTCAAAACCAAGATGGAATATTGGATTGCTGTGAAGAAAATAACAATCAAACATTGAGAATGTTTCTCAGTAGAAGAGCACTTGCTGAAGAAAATAACAAACACTGAGAATGTTTCTCAGTAGAAGAGCACTTGCATAATATAACCAAGGCCCAGTGTTTAGCACCAAAAGAATCATTATTATTATCATTATTATTAATTTCAGTACAAGATACATTGACTCATTATCATTGGACTTCATTAAGATCCAAGAAACAATACCATAAATTGTACAGGCATACCTAAGGGAGAACAAACAACTAAGATTTTCTCTTTTCTTTTCTTGAGATAAAGACTCACTAAGTTGCCCAGGCTGACCTCTAACCTCTGATTTTTCCTGTCTCAATCTGCGGAGGAGCTAGGATTGTAAACATGTGCTACTGAATTTAGCTAATCTATTATACTTCTTTTAAATAAGTGTTTTTTGATGAGTAGGTATAACACTGACACTCAAACACTAGTTGCATTTATCTGATTTATCTTTATAAGAACATATGAAATGGTATGCTGGTAACATCTAAATTATCTTGGATGAACTATTTTTCTGGAAATATCACCTATTCACATAAGAACCATTCAACTTCTTAATGTGGAAAGGTATAAATTCAAATGACAAGAGTTAGAATGTGAAACTTTCACTTTAATTCCAATCATTCAACTCATGGTAGAGCTGTCTTGCACAGGACACCTCCTTCTGCTGCAATCAACTAGATTCTCTGAGGATAGCAAATCCTAGGAAAGGATTTCTCATGTAGGACTGAATGAAACCCTAACCCCCCAACCTATGAATTCCTTACTTCTGATGTGCTTGTGATGCATGATAATTCTCTTCATAAGTCAATTTAATAAAATTATGGTTTCTTTTATTTAAGACTTCACACCATATTTTTCTTATAAAGTTTTATTATACCAAAACTGTCTCAGCGAACTGAGCTATTATAAATACATAAATTTCATAAGTAATGAAACTAGCTAATATAACATAATAAATATGCTATTTTGAAGAAATAACTCATTAATTACACAACTGAGTATAGAGGTATAGAAGGTCAGTTCCTTTACTACACAGTGAGTCGTATGTGGCATGCAACTTCCTGCTTCTAAATATAAGAATAGACTGAATCAAGCTTCAAGGTACTAACAGGACCTTGCTTGTAACTTTCCCTGCAGTATCTAGCTACTACAGATTTCTTTCCTCTGAGACAGAACCATAAAATTTCTTTAAAACAGATCACTCCTTCCCATCTAAGGTGCTCCTTCAATGGAGGCAAAGCAGTAAAATGGAATCTAGATTGAAATCCTTACTTAAAACATTACAGAGCTGGGCAAAAATAAAAGTCAGGATTTATATGCAGCTGAAGACATATTTATCAAACATGTGATCCACAATTTTGGAAGAATTTATGATATAAATGTGTGGCATTCTAATTCATCAGTATTTCTTTCATACTAATGTATACTACAAACTCAAACACAAAACTAAGGACACAGTCAGCGAAAAGATATCTTACTAAAGAGACGCATCAAACCTCCTTGTATTTCCCTATTTCTCAAACTGTAGATAAAAGGATTAAGCATTTGGGGGATCACAATATACATCATTGAAGCCACTATGTTCTTAACTGAAGAGTCACTAATAGCAGAACTCATGTATACTCCAAAAATTGTCCCATAGAACAAGGACACAACTGAAAGGTGAGACCCACAGGTGGAAAATGCTTTGCACCTTCCACCTCCTGATGGAATCTTTAAAATGGAGGAGACAATTTGAGCATAAGAGAAAATAATCCCAAAGACAGGAACAGCAGCAAATAGACTAGCTACTACATATATCAAAAGGTTATTGACAAAAGCATCGGAACAGGAGAGCTTGATGACCTGAACGAGTTCACAGAAGAAGTGGGGGATTTCCAGGTGTGTGCAGAAGGATAGCCGCAGCACCATAAGAGTGTGGATCAGGGCATTCACAGTGGTAATGAACACGGAGAGTACAACCAGCAGGACACACAGGTCTTGGTTTAAGATGACTGTGTACATCAGTGGGTGACAAATGGCCACATAGCGGTCATAGGCCATAACTGCAAGGAGACAATTTTCTAAAGCACCAAAATTCAAGACAAAGCAGATCTGAGACAGGCAGCCTGTGTAAGTGATGCTATGGTCCTGTGTTTGGATGTTCACCAGCATCTTTGGGATCGTGGTAGTGCTGATACAGATGTCAGTGAGGGACAAGTTAGAGAGGAAGAAGTACATGGGGGTGTGGAGGTGGGCATCAGAGCTGACAGCCAGGATGATGAGCAGGTTTCCTAGGATGGTGACCAGGTACATGGCTAGGAACAGGCTGAAGATAAGAGGCTGTAGTTCTCGATCATCTGTCAGTCCCAGGAGAAAGAATTCTAAAACATCTGTTTGATTTTGTGATTCCATAATGCTTGTGAATCTTAATAGAATGCACAGGATGAAAAAATATCAAATAAATGATTGATACAAAAGAGAAAAGAACAACACCTCAGATTTAGTAAGATATGAAAATTTTAATAACACTGGGGAATGACTTGTGGTAAATTCTGGAATATGGGCAAGCAACATGTGTGTCATCAAGCACTCCAGATCCTGGTATCTCTAATTTTTGAAAAGCAGTGGTTTAAATTTGTTCCAATTTATATTGTGAACCACAGTAGCATTTCGGATCTTTGCTCACTGTCTTCTTCCATTTCTGTTGTCTACATCACCTCTAAATTCTTTCCATACTATAGAATAACTCATTTAATCTCTGAACCAAGGGCTGAGAGACTAACAAAGGATAATTCATGGATATTCATTTAGAATGCACTAATGCTTTCAAATATAGTAAGGCCCAGACTTATGGAATGAATTATCTTTAAAACATTTATAAGCTGTGTTTGTTTGTATCTGACAGTGAGATCAGTCTTATAAAGTTTACTTGTACTTACTGTACAAAGAATGGTAAGGATGAAATTATCGATTCTGTCTTCTACAGAAATGGTTTTGAACTTTGGCCTTCCCCAGAATCATCTAAAGTCCTTGTCAAACTATGGACAACATTAGTCCCATAAACCCATATCATGGCCACAAAGTCCATATTGCTTGCCAAAGACTAAGTCAGAGTGAAGACTGTTTGAATCCCCAGTTGACTCTTCTTCTTTTTTTTTAATAACTTCATTGAGAAACAAATAGCAATGAAACAGTTTCAAAACTGATCAGTAGAACAGTTTCAATAATAAATACATTGCACATTGTTGTCTCAGTGATTATTCATTGCACAAGATACAGACATGGCATCCTGTCCACAAATGCTATTAGAATAAATCTTCTTATTCATTGAATTAAGAGAATGTAGCTGTATATCTAGCCTATTTTGAATATATAGATACAAAATGGTCATTCATTTGTATCACCTTTTTGTTTAGTTTTGTCAGAGAAGTGTATTTCATTGTCATTTAAATATTATAGGTGTGTGAATTCAGCAAAATATTCCAATATAATCCAGTAGCCCATAATAGTAGTGGGTCATCCGCAGGACTGGCAGTGTCTCTTCACTACTTTCTGATAATGCCTCTGGAGAGTACACAGGTAGCATTCTTCATGATCCTGAAGGGCTCACTATCCCTTTGTAGCATTTAAAGTTTCTCTTTGAACGTAGCCTCAAACTTTTTCTTAATTTTAAATATGATTTCTTCTCTATATGTCAATAAAATGCAGGAGGTGAAAGCAATCCACTCACTTGGGTAAGAGCAAGGGTTAGAACATGTTGTCTATAAATATGAGGCTGTCCCTTACAGATGGAAACAAACTGGTTTAGTAATCATATTTTTAAAAAAATAGGGTAATAATGTTAAAATTCTCTGTTTCATCATAGGGGAACTTTTTTCATTGACTATCATTAAATGTGGAGAAAACTACCCAATAACTAAGAAATCAGAAAAAAATAAAGACCATCTTTTGTTCTTCAAACGACAGGCTCACAAGATAAAAATGCGTTGTCAGGCTTCCTAACAGGAGACCAGTGGTCTGTCTTTTCAAGAGAATAGAGGAACAGCTCTGACAGTGATGATCCTTTAATTCCATTATAGACTCACACGTTCTGAAATTAAACTGAGACTCACTAATAAAATTATATATCATAACAGTCTTTAGTTGGATCAGAGGCTTCTGTGCCCTCATTTCTAAATGCAAACTGCCACATAGATGTGTCATTTAGCTGTGGTGGGAAAAAAATTTTCTTTTTTTTAATAAATTATTTTTTCTATAATTTTATTGAGAAACTAATAGCAATGAGACAGTTTTAAAACCGATTAGTGACATGCCATTTACTGCTAAGATGTCTCTAGGGTAGATGGATGTTCAAGAAGAAGGCGGTGGTGAAGGAAAGCAAGAGACAGGAAAA